CAACAGCCTTAGGTTAGGCTACAAATTTCTGATCCAAAACCTGTATCGTGTTTGCTTTCCCACCATCATAAGCATAGTGAATGCGCAGGCAGGCTTATTGCGGCCAAAAGTATGCCATAATATCTAGAGTGACCTCATTTGATAAAATGTTTCATCAGAATAGATGATATCTTCCCATACTTTGTACAATCGAGCAGTCCACCAGACCGAGGCTAGGGGTTGCGCGTTAGAAAGTTAGGTACACTTGCTTCAAGTTAAGTACAATAGTTCGCCCAATTTAGAGGGTTTTTATGGATTTTGAGGAGATATGAAGAGCATACTACCCTTTATATGCATTATGAAAAGGTGGGTGTTAATCTGTCGATACATGACACTTTCCTTTTTGTCCTACGCTCCTTCGCATGCAGCGAACCATTCCAGAATGCAGTGTCGGTTGAACATTCTTGGATTTGAATCCAGCCTGCTCTCTATGCCAAAATATGTTGCATTTGCAAAATGTTCGATTGCAGTATGTACGTTTTAACGGAAAATTGCTTCTTGCGATAAATCACTTGGAGGGCTTGGCAATGCCTACCATACGAAGTGACAAATTACCTACTCTAAGTGGCTAGGGTAAGTCGTTGATGCTGCCAACCAAAATGTAAAGCGATTTGACGGTCATGTTTGCACACATTTTTAAGTGTATGGCCTATTCGAAAGCCACCCTTGATGGATCGTGAGGCTCTTGGGCATGTTTAGCTATTAGTTCGTGCGATTCTCAATTTGCTCTACCCTTCACCCATTAGCTGCCCACATCAGCGCTACTAAATGAGTACTGAAGAATATGTCGTTTTGCCATGTTTCATGTTGTGTGCAAGGGCATCAAGATTTGAAAATGACTTGACAATTACCTTGCTACAATGCTTTGCGTGAGGGTTGACGGAATCAAATGGACAAACACTGGTGTATTTTAAATAGAAAAAGGCCTTCGTATAACTACTATCATGTATGGAGTCCACTGATCGTATGCAGAGGTCTGGGCGTTGTTTGTTCTAGGAGAACTGCAGAT